AGCAGGTACAATCAGTCACAGCCTTGAACTAATAACTCTAGAAAAGTCGGTAAAAGCATCCGCATCCATAATATTTTAGGGATATCATTGAATATAAAATTATTAAAATTTGANAAAANNAAAAAAAAGAGTGTTTTTTGTTGAAATAATGAAGTGTATTGAAATATAAAATTAATAAAATTTGAGTAAAGAGATGAGATAGTGGGTATTTTTGGAGAGAGAGTTTCAAATAGTTGATACTTTTGAGATTAGAAAGAGTGTGTTTGAGTGTATTTTTAATAATTTTATATTTAAAAAGAGTATAAAATTAATAAAAATTGAGTAAAAGGATGAAAGAGAATGTATAAAGTTGAGTAAAAGGAAGAGAAAGTGTGTTTTTAATAATTATATATTTAGTGATACTCACAAAATATTATGGATGCGGATGCCCTAAGGCTTTTAATTTTAATATGGACTAACACTAGAATGGACTAATTTTAATTTTAGATAAGGCTATTAATTTTGATATGGACTAACTAAAAAAACGTATAGATTTTATTAAGAGGTTAACTTATTAGATAAAAAAGAATATAGAAACTACTGAAACCAAGTATTAGCAGTCATAAGAATTTTTCTTTTCATGTTTATACAAAAAATACATACTTTTACTAATATAGTATATATATCAAATATTAAAATCGTAGAAATGCTAGATATAAATATTTACAGAGAACCATTTTTTTTAAACAACAAAGTTTTACTACATATAAAACTTATATATACAAACAATATAGCTTAATATTGTTGTGAACACATAAAAGTTTAAATAACCAAGATATTTTCTTTAGCAAAAAAAAAAAATAACCAAGATATTTTGTCGAAGATGGATATCTTTTTCGTATATCTTATTTGTCTTTACCTATATATCAGAAGAAAGTTCAAACTTGGTAGGAAAAATAGTAATTCAATTTCATTTTAAAAGAAGTAGGAGTGATTCTAATTGCCATCGTCTCAACAATATTTTTTACCGGCTCGTGGTCTCAAGTTCTCAACCACTTTTTGCAGAATGTTATTTATGACGTCTGGCCATGATGATGTAACATTTGTAGGAAAAAATACAGAGACAACGAATTATGAGAATGGAGAAATATCACCTATCCATTTGTACTGCCAACCATTCAAATTGAAAAATACAGAGACAACCAATTATGATGGTTACTAAATAAAAGTGTCAAACGGTTTTTATACGTTGCCACTTATCCCATTTGTACTGCCAACCATTCAAATTGGAAAACGAATGATGGAAAAGTAACAACGAAAAGTATTTGTACTTAAGATTTCGTCTGTCTCGTAATCAACTTCATATTCGTGTTTAATCGGAAGTTTTTTTTTGTTTATCGTCTATAACATATATAATTCATACTCCCAAGTTTCACTCTGCATTATGATTCATTAGTCATTACAAGAATATTAATACAAATCACTATACTCTTCCATAATTGCAAAATGAATATGGATAATTTTTTTGAGAAAATATAGACTGTATTTTGAGTTTCCATAGCGAGAATAAAAACTGGATTTGGGCAAAACTACATAAGTTGTTCGCCCTAATCCCTTTCTCTCCAAGACACGGGATTCGAGATTTCGCATCTCAAACTCGTAGCCGACCAGAATGGATGATCTCTGGCGGTCCAGTTCTGTTTTCTCAACAGTCTAAGACCGAGCACCACCGCCTTCGTGGGAGCTTCTAGTTTTCCGACGCTCCTCTCTCTCCCTCCATCCCTTGAGATGGTGTCTTCCACCTTGAGTCGAGCCCTCTTGCTCTCACTGGGGGAAACCGCATGCAGATCGGAACTCTGCTCACTCTCTCCTTTGGTTGAAGACGTTCTCAAGGATGAAAATCTCTCCGCCGAATCCGCCAGATCCAGCGGATCCAGCCCAACGTCACTTTCTGCCACATATCCACTCCACCGTGGTTTTACCAGCGTGGAGATCATCTTACCTCCATCTCAGTCTTCGGCTTCAACTCCTGCTCCGTCGACGGTAAAAACTTCTCCTTCGTCGAGATCTCACTTTGATTTCTCCGGTTCAGTCAAACTCTCTCTCACCGGTCAAGATTTCTGCTCTGGTAAAGGAATCGACTTGGCTCCGACTTCCGCTTCCCGTTCATCCTTCCCGTCGTGGTTCCACTTCTCCGACCAGTCACCACGGCCCCTCCTCCTTCAAAACATGTGGCCGAAACCCTACTTCCCTCTCAACATTATTCACCTATGGGCCTGGGCCAATTTGAGATCTGGGCCTTCTTGCCCAACAAATCTGTCCGGCCCACCCTCTAAGTATGATAAAGCGTTCTCCAATGATGAGTGTTTTTGTGTTTTTGNCAGCAGTATTGTCACCGTTCCTATGATGGGGTTCCAGTACCAAACTCCTCCCTAGTGGAGAGATCAATCCCAAGTTCCTCTTCCTTTGGGGAGAGATCGATTTTACTACCTTCTTCCCTCTCTTTGAGAGTGGTCGTACCTTCTTCCCTCTTTATGAGAATGGTCGTATCTTCCCTCTCTTTGAGAGTGGTCATATTCTCGAGTTACACGTCGGCAACTATAAAGAATTTTCTCACCGTCTTGTTTTCTTATGTAGCGGTCTCTTTGGGACCAGAAGAAGCAGCCGGTTTCGTTTCGACGATTACTAAGGGTAGAAGTTCGATCTCAACGTCACATTGGAATGTGACCAATCTAGGACTCTCCGGCTTTGCCGCGAAGACTTTCTTGACGCATTTGAGGCATGTCTTGGATCCGATGTCCATTTTTCTAGATGATCTATGTACATTATGTTTTATTGCGTTTTAATTATTGTGTTTTCAGTTTAGAAGATGTTTAATTTCTTCTAATTGTACTTTTAAAGGTTATACATCTAATGAAGTAAGGTTGTGCAAAAAAAAAAAAAATTTAACCTTTTTGGCTATAAAATCAGATTTGGATGTCAAAAACTGATACAATAATTAAAAAAAAAATAGTTAGCTTTTTAATCTATTTCATGTAGATTTAAATCTGAATAACGCAACAATGTCCATTTCAATTTGAAACAGTTAGTTATTCTATTTTTCTATATGAAGTTAGCCATCTGAATTCTCTAGGAAATATACTTAAGTTGGGCCTTTGTCAAGAAAAATTTAAGCTTCGTCTCTGGTCTGGAAATCTTTTTAATTGTCTTGAAATTTCAAATTTTGGTTTTATGATGATGTTGTCCCTATTCCCTATTTAAAATCTTAAATTATAACAGTGATTCTAATTTGATCAATAAAAAAAGTTTAGACAACAGAACAGATAATGTTACTAAGAAGATGAGCTATATTTTATCAAATGGCTCTTGGTCTAATTGCGAAGTTCTAACATCCGCCAAAATTATTAGATTTCGATGATCTTTTGTCTAAAACTTTTTGAAATACCA